TTAATCACTTCGGTGAATGCTCAACAAGTGACTAGCCCTAATTTGGGTGAACATCCGGGCTTCGGGGCGAAAAATCATTTTTGTTCATTTCTATTTTCTGTATTACTTTGTATTTTGGGGCCTGAATAATTCCTACAGATATTACCATGAAGTTGGCTTTCTACCACATATAAAGACTCAGGTTAGACCATTTATCTCGTCAACAGAGTTGAACACTAGCCAACTGAAACCAGATGCTTAACCACGTGTTAAAAGATATGTATTAAAGGGGTAAATAACAACTAATTACCCTCCTCTAACGATTGAAATAGAATTGGGCATTTCCACTTGGTTAAGGGTGTCAGCTGCAGTTGTGATAGGATTCGTTTTATAGCAATGTGCTGCATGAAAGAAAGGATTTGATGGTGGAACCGCAAGATCATGAATGTGAGAGTAAGAACTATTGAGTAATATTATATTTCCTAAATAATACTGGTTGAGGACAGTATCAATAACTCTAATGCTAACCCGGAAGGACATAAAATATTAGTACTAAAAGAATTGACAATGATATGGACATAATATCAGATTTAAAATGGCAATGTAATTAATTAGCGCCCACCACATAAAGTTGCAAAATATATTTATCAAGCAGCACATTAATATGATCCCAACTCTAGCAGACCAATCTTGGAATAAGCAATCCAAAATCGTAGCCATAATTACATCCCATTACATAGTATTTGAAGAACATTATTTTGTTCAGCATTTTGAGAGAGAATTATAAACAAAAGCTGAGAAAGAATGTTACATGGTTTTGCTCATACAGAGTGTGCATTTTGGTGAAATATTTCTATGTGCCTCGTCCTTTTGCAAGCATTTCTTCATCGACAGGACCTATGATTCCAATCGCGCAAGCAAAGTGGCCTAAGAATCATTTTGGAAGAGAACCTATACAACAATATTACTTGTATTTCCAAGAAGCAATATCGACTGACTAGCATATGCGCATCAGTGAATACAAAACCACAAGGAAATATTCAGTTAAAAATAGGAAATCCATAAACAAACGAATATTGGTATTTAACATCAAATCAACAAATAAAAACTCTAAAGAATCCTTCATGCTCTAAGAATTATAAAATTTTGTTAGAATTAAATAAGATACTAGAATCGCTTTGATATCAATTTGTTGAGAATGTGGCTAAATAATTAAAGACGAGAAAATAAGAGCAATTTGAATGAAATACAACTCAAGAAACGAGTTAGAATCGAAAAAGGATTTTTGTCCGAATAACACTGAGCACCAGGCGGGCGGCTTCGCCGCTCGAGCGAAATGCTGGCACCAGCTCTCTGTTCCATTTTTCACTCCCAATGCTTGAGTGCAAGCTAGCAGTCAGCTAGCGAAATTGCGACTACATTTTCTCCACCAAAACTCTAAAAACCAAGTCTTCAATTATCCAAAGTCCTTTTAAAATTCAAACTTTCAATCCTTAATGAGCTTTAATCCCTTTTACAATAGGACTTTCAAACCAAGAAGACTCTTGTTCCTTTTATCAATTTATTAACCCAATCCCAATAGAAATTTGGTTCATGCTCTAACAAATTCAATAGAAAAACTCAAGATCTCAAAGCACCTTATTTTCCGAACTAATAAATATCTTATCGAAATTTATACATTAACTTTGTATTTAGCACATAAAGTTTGTGTTTGTCGACAATACTTCAGTTTAGAAGTGTATTTGTTAATTGAGCCAGGCTAAATCATATACCTAACAGCTCAACTAGAAATGAGTCATTTCAAATATGACATCACTTGTAATATATTGTGTTACAAGCCCCCAAATCATCCACCACGTGTTGGATGATGAGGTCCAAAGCCTGAGTTCATCCATCACGTGGTGGACGAACTGAATTCATCTGCCACGTGGCATATGCTAAGGTCTACACTCTGCATCACTTCGTCACATCTTAATCGGACTAACCAAGAGAGCTAATCGACTAGATGATAAGGCACCCAGAGCACGACTACAATCACTACTACAAAAACAGCATTTTGCAAAATTCAAAAAATGTTGCTGAAGACTTTTTGCAACGTTTGAACGTATGTTGTAAACCTCGATGTTGTCGTAGAGTAGAAAGATACGACAACGTTTTTTGAATGTTGCTAATAATTTGCAACTTTTTTAACTGTTCCCGCAGTTTTTATTTATTTATAGCATTTTATGTAAATTGACTAGCAAAATTGAAAATACTCATTGTGAACGAATTTTGAAATTGCATAAAAATTGATAATTTCATTACAATTTTTTGAATTCATACACTTGAACATTGAAATGTGATACAACACCACTTAAATAAAAATGATTTTGAAAATGAAATAAAATTAGGAATAAAATTTTGGTACAGCTTAGGCATGAAGAACTTACTGCTACACTTGCAACACCAAGCTTCTGGATAGCTCAACCAGTTTCATTCAATATTGGAACAAATAAGCGGCTTCATTTGTGCTAGATACACTATCGCTCACCTATTGAAGGAAAAGGAGAAACGAGGTTCACTTAGAAAAGAATCAAGTAATTAAAATACAAGCAAAACGAACCAATTTTGTATGAAACTGAACAAGCTAGTTGGGTATCAGAACTGAAAAGATTCTAAAGATAAAGCAACTCTTTTCGAAGATACACTAATGAAACTGAATAGGTCCATATTCTTCATACCAATTTCTATTCCTACTAGAGTATTTACATTTTTTAAGTACACCCAAACTCAAGGATTGTACACGCTACATGAAAGTTACAAAATCCAGGAAAGAGTACGGATTTTTGAAGGTGAAAGTTACAGCAAAGATAACATCTAGGTCAGAGAAACTTTGTTCACTCCAGGAATAAAGGATTCAGTTCATAATGGTGTTTCAAACAGTAACCAGATCAAATATTTTTTAAAACCATAAATATAAAGTTTAATAAGATTAATTGTATAGAAAATATTAATTTAGAAGGCCATCAAGTAAATATATCTGTAAAATCAAAGAACAATATCTCAACATTTAATTAGAAAATGCAATTGCAATCCATGGACAAAGACAATGTCCAGTAGAGGAAACTCCATGTCAAAAATAGTAGAGGGATTATAAACTTCATATTTGAGTTAAAAACTTAATTTTTGGAAAGTAGTAGTTACATAACTTCTAACCACATCCAAATATGCTCTTACCGAAAAAAACATAGTAGCTAGAAAACAACTCAAATACGCCTTATTAGAACGAAACACCACAAGGGTTTCATAAACTTAAAAGTTAGGGCTCTAGAGCTTTCCTTAAAACACAACACTAGTGGATTCTTTGTTCGGCCTTTCTTCATGCTTTCATGGAAGTTCCCGAGATGGACGGATTTTTCAATTGGTGCTTTCGATTGGGAGTTGCACTTTTGGGGAGGAACAATGGCACACGCAGAAGCAGATGACGTTGAGGACTCAGATGAGGATGAACGAATGACGAAGCAAGGAATGAAGATTAGGCTAAGAGATATAGGCCATGTTTGATAGGCAGTTTTTTCCACGTAAGTTAGAAAATAAGTTCCATTTCCCACTTTTTGAGGTGTTTGATAGGTTAAAATTTTCAGTCAAAATATTTTCTCATTTAACCCTCACGTGACCTATTTTCCACCAAATTGAGGAAAGCATTTTCCCTCGTTTGAGCTGGGAATGGATTTTCCCTGCAATTGGAAGAATTGAAGAAGGAAACTTCTCTCCCGCAAGCTACACCCGTTTCCCTGCAATTGGAAGAAGCAAACCCTTGTCTCTCCCGTAGCAACGCCATTTCCCTTTCTCTTCTCTCCACACCGAAGCCACTCCGGTTGGTGGTGGAGGAACATAGTAATCTGGGGGGCGTTTGGGTCTTCCACCACTGCTAGACGACGGTGACGGCGGAGAATACCCACCTGTGGGTGGCGAGGGGAGAGGGTGAAACCTAGAATTTTCGGCATATATTTCTGGTTTTTTCTTTGGCCTTTTATTAGAATCCTTAACATCACTCCCCTTCTCCTGTTCAGAGTCGAATTCGGAGGATAAATTGAGTTTCTTAAGGGTGGGTGCAGTAGACGATAGGGGAGTTAGTCGGAGGTGGGATTGATGTGGGAGGAATTGGTAGAGAAACTGAAGGTCTGTTCTTCTGCTTTTTGTGTGAATTTTTTGTAAACTCGATCTCCTTTATTGTGTTAATTATATTGTGAATTGATTTGTTTCAAGCCTTGTTTCTTGTTCTGAGGAAGTTGGGCGGCGGTGGTGGGGATGAGATGAAACTGGTGGCAAAAAGTTGGCTGGGGAAGTTGGGCGGCGGTGGTAAGGATGAGATGAAGCTGGTGGCAGAGAGTTGACTAGGAGAGTTGGGCGGCGGTGGTGGGGATGAAGCTAGTGGCAGAGAGTTGGCTGGGGGATTAGGCGGAGGTGGTGGGGATGAGGCTGGTGGCAGAGAGTTAGCTGGGAGTTGGGCTTGCAGGTGGTGGAGAATTTGTTGGAGTATGAGGAGGCGCAGGTGGCGTTGATGCCGGAGGATGAACGGATGTTGTCGGAAAATTTTTATGAAGTTTGATAGTTTAACACAAATCATCATAATTTTCCATAGAAAACAAAGTCGATCAAACACCAAAAGATGGAAAATTTCAACATTTTCTAGGTAGAAAATTATATCAATCAAATACAACTAATTGACATTTCCCGGAAAAACAAATTCTAGGCAAATATTTTCCCTGAAATTCGTTTTCTTTCCACCATATTTTCCATCTTGCAATCAAACGGACCCTTAGTGTAATGAATGGTGAATAGATGAATGGCGTTAATTGGGGGGGTTTTTTTTAATAGGTTAGGTGGGTGTAAGTGGGCTGGATTTAGTAAAGTAAGCTACATAATTAAATTTTTAAAAAAGAAACTATTTGTAACATGCATTGATAGATTGAAACCTATAAAAATCGACTCTCCAAGATCCAAAACCACATGCCTCACATCCACCAGTTTCCCTCTCACCTCCTCTTATTATAAATATCCACACTCGCACCATTGAAAATGATCCTTGTGTTGATTTATGGTTGATCTTATATTTTGATTATAACAAACAAAGTAGTTTTATCTCTAACATTTGCATTCGAGTCTTCATTGTTACATATTGATGAAATTGGAGACAAAATAATTGCTATCAAAAGATTTGTAGTTGACGATCAAGAAAATCTAAGATGGATTCGATCATTTATAATAGGAGACAAATCAAGCACTCGCGTCAATTGAAAATCGAAGATATTAGAATTAGATGTTTGAGCTCATTTATAAAGGTAAAATACTTTAATCCTTAGCAATGACTCATTAGAAGCTCAAGTAACGAATTTTTATGCATGAAAAAAATCTACTTCGTAAAAAAAAAAAAGTTTGCACAAATTTATTTTTCAAATGTAAGAATTTCAATTTACTTTTCAAACCTACTAACATCACTTATCTTGAAAAATAAGTAAAAATGTCATTTATAAGCCTGCATTGTTTCAAATAAACAAATAAGAGGAGCCGAAACAATTCGGCCCATTCGAATATTTGGATGGTGAGCCGGACGTCCGGTTCATTCGCAACGGTCAATTTTTCGACCGTTCTCACATCTGAGGAGCAATGACTAAATCAGCCCTCCGGAACAGTATCGGACTTCAGGATGATTGTCCTGTTCGGCAGCGTTTTTGACCTTTTTCAATTGTTATAAATACCAACACACTTGTCATTCATTACTACATTAAAAAACATTCAAGTGAGATATTTTAAGCAAAATTATATTGATTTCTCATCTTATTCATTATTATCAAATCATTTTAATTTTGAATTTTTTTTGATCAAATTAACTTTTGAAAATCATTTTACACATCAAAATTTTTCATACCTAAGATTTGATCTTCATTCATTGCTATCTATTAAAGTGTTAGCATATTTTCCTCTTGGTACTTAATTGATATCATATCATTTATTAAGAGAGAAATTTCATTTGTAAACCCAATTTCTTTAAAACTTGTGGGTCGTGTTGAGATCCCGTAAATCTCTACGTTATTTAAGGACCGGTGCTTCTTGTTTGTAAGTTACCAGAAGCATTGTAAATGGTTGGATTCTACCACAAGTCAATGAACATAGTGAAATTGGTCTTGCTCGTGCCGAAGAGCTTGGTAACGGATGACATAGATGATTGTGTTGGATCAAACCTCCATAATTATATCGTTTGCATCATCTATCTCTCTCAACCTATTTTTTTTATATTCGTTCTCATTACTTAAATTAATATATCTATTTATTACGTGTTTGATTTTAGATTAATTTTTCGAAAATTTTTTAAAAATCAATTCACCCTCCTCTTGATTGACTACTTTTGAGCTATCACCTTCTTTTCCTCTTCAGAAAAGAGAACACTAGCTTTTTACATTATCCTTGTCCCCACACATATATATTAATAATCACATTCCGGTGATCACCACCACCACCACCGGACATCTCAACTCCGATCTACCATCTCACTAACTTGACTGTTGGAATGCTTGCATTCGCTTCCACCATCATCGGAAACAACCACAAGTGACTAACGGTGTGTTACAATGCATAGGAAGAAGCTTACTTAAAGTTACATTCTGTTGGCCATGTGTGAGGGTCACTTTCCGGGGTCAACATATTGTGTGGCATTTTGCTATTGCTATTCGAAGGTGATGTGGTCACGTGTCAAAATGTGTGGTGGTAGGCAAGAGGACAATTACTTGGAGATGACCATGATTTATTATTTTTACATGAATTAGGAATTTCATGTTAACTTCCACTAATTAGTTTAATAGCTATATATATGTGTACGTACCCATTGAGTCGGTAAAATATTTTCACTATAAAAAAATTAAAAAGTAAAGCTCCATAAATTTTGTATCATATTATTTCTAATAAATTGAAGTTTTGTATAATCCAACAATTTAATTAATGTTTAGCATCATAATTTGTCAAAAAATGAAAACTTTAGCATTTATGAAATCATGAAAATGTACATAATAACACCTCACAATCTTTCGAAAACAATTAATCGCGTCAAAATTATGGGCACCCCTATTTGATAAAAATTATAATCTAGATTTTTATTAAAGTTAAAATCAACAATTAATTTTAAATGCATATTTTATGGATTCTACAACTTTTTACCTGCACATTTCATTAATTTTTATCAAAATCTACTAAAAATCTAATTTTAGTCTCCACTAACCAGGAGCTATGAGTTGAGTTACCTCATGATTAATTTACACCTATTATTTATTTATTTATTTTTTGAAAAGCAAAAGAAAGTTTATTTTCTATTAGTCACTGATGCACCCTTTTAAGTTGTTTTATTAGGTAAGAGACTAGTAGAGTAGCTCATGTCATAGCAAGATTATTCATTTATTATTTTTTTTTATCACTTTTACTCTCGCGTGTTCGTTATTTCAATAATGATCTTGTAGAAGTCCACGAGTAACCATTCTTCAAAGAATGATAGCACTTGGCTCCTGTTTGGTTAAAACGTTGATAAAAGTTGTAGATCTTATAAAATATGTGATTAAAAATAAATTTTACAATTTGAGACCAAATAAGGGCTTAATTTTGTTAAGATTACAACATAGGAAATTAAGACCAAGATGATTGACTAAAACAAGAAGTTTTACCAAAATAAGACAGTCTTAATCCACGTGCAGTTAGGAGATCATAGGCCAATTTTTAGTTAGGTCTTGGAAAGGTGATCAAGACCTAAACCTCCCTCTTCTTCTTCACTAAGGTCTAACGACTTTACCAAACTTTTCTCTATTCTATATGAAATCTATTTCAATTTTGTTTAAGCAATATTCCAAGATCAGTTTTTAGATTGGATTGCAATTTTCTGTTCTTTTTAAATTTAGTAATGTTTGGTATTGATATGAGTTGTGGACGAAAAGTAGTAAAGCATATTCTATTACAAGACTTGATTAATCTTTCAAATCATTTGTCAATATCCCTTTAAACTTTAAATTCAATTCAAAAGGGGACACATATTATTTGAGGACAAAGATATTCGTGTTTAAGCTTTCATCTTTATTTCGGTGTTCTTATTTTTGTTTTTTAGTTTCTTCTTTATCGTTTGTTGTGTGGAATCTTTCTAAAATCAATGACTTTGATGGATCCATGTGGAATACTGCCAAACAAGATGTGGAGGAGAGTGTACATGTAGCATGGTTGATATTTGTACTATACAGTTAAAAAAAAAAAAAAAA